CGTATGCCATCTTCAGAGCCTAAATATTGTTTAAACATATAATTTAATTAAAATAAATGTCTAATGTAAAATGTGAAAATATAGAAAATAAAATATGTATTAAATTGTGAAATAAATTAACCTTGTTGTAAATATCATAATAACTAAAGTTTATGTAGATTATATAAATAAAATAATGTAATTTAAATAAAATGTTTAGTAAAATAATTAAAATATAGAAATATTATAAAAGTTTTAACATGGTTGAAAAACGTTAGTGAAAACTAATTACGAATGACATGTGCGCCAGATATATAATATTGCTGTGTACCGCCTCGTTGAATGTCTTATAAAGAAGTTAATTAATGCAAAATGGGCAAACAATTTCAATGAAATTTGCCTATATATATATATATATATATATATGTTGGTAATAGACCAACATATATATATATATATATATATGTTGAAACCGTTACTTAACTTACTTAACTTAACTTATTGCATTCCTGTCTGGGGTTGTAATTCGAAGTCCATTTTTTCGATTTTTCTCACTCAAGTTTTTAATATATATATATATATACACACATATGCACCAACTTAGGGGGGGCAAAGCACTTTTTGCCCCCCCAATATTTTTTCAGGGGAGCAAAGTATCGTTTTGCCCCCCCAATAATTTTGACTTGAAAATTCAGTTTTCAAAAACGTTTCATTTTTATTTTTAATCAAAACTCGTGTTTAATTACAGTAAACTTTTTTTGAGCGTTAGTCTTAAATAAGTAAAGCGTTCAATTAGTAGCCAACTTTTAAACAATTTTTTGCAGCGTTTCGTCGTGTTACCATAGCAACAAAACGTTAAAATCGATTTAAATTTAAAATTGTCATCACGTTGTTTCGTACGCTTTTATGTGTTAACCGGTAAAAGTAAGTGTTTTTAATAAAATTTAATTAAAAAGCTTTATATAAATATAAACTGCATTAAATTAAGTTGAATGAATTTGATTGAATTTATTTCCTAAATTTTATTTTATTAGAACAAGTTTGAAAAAATAAAAATGGATAAGTTTTTGATAAAACTGCCAGCCAAAACATCCGGGACTGGAACGGTTTCAGAAGACTCAATTATCCAAGAAAACACCACAGCAGTGGCATCACTAGGGGGGTGCGGACCGCACCAAGTGACACCTTCACAAGGGGTGACACCAAAATATCACTGTATATGTTTTTATGTCCCTTCATGAAATTATTCTTATCATTGATTCAGCCTAACCCGCCCAGCGCCCAGAAATGTATTATGAATAAAATTTTTTTCGTTCAAATCATTTTTGTATTCAACGTTTATACCATTCGAATTCGACGTCCGAATTATTAAGCGCCGCGGCCGCGCACATTTAACTTGTTCGTGTCTAACATAACGTACAACAGTGTTTGTTTTGCCCACCCACTACAAGCGTGTGTTAGTCAAGTTTAAGAGAATAATCTATAATTTACTAAAAGTAAAAAATTATTTAATTTTTAATCAATTTAATGATATACGACAACAATTCAAAGTAATTTCACAAAAGTTGATCCCTGATCCGTAAGTACAAATATAATTTGTTTTATTAGCATTTAAATTTTAATTTATACATTTAACCAACCAAATTTCAAATAATTTTATTTTATTTATTTATTTATATTTATATATTTATTGTTGAAGGATATTATATCATGCCACGTAGAGGTTGAGTTCATACAACAAAAAGGCTAAGCGGATGTCAACAAAGAAAAGCCAAAATAAAGAAAGATAAAATACTATCTACATTGCGCAGATCTATGCTGCAATATGTAAAAGGATCAGATGAGGCCCAGAGTTCTTCCAAAGACACAGTTCCTCAACCAAAAATTGATGAGACTAATTTGTCTGATGCTGGTATGCATTCAGCAGAGGAAAACATTAATATAATAGAAGAAAATAGAGCAGAACAAGATAAAGAAATAGACGAATTTGTAGCAGAAGAGTGGACTGATAATAGTGACTCTAAATATGATACTGAAAATGAACTTACGGAGAAAAATTGGAATGTTTTGGATGATGCTTCTTATTGGAATATACCAATTCCAGATCAATTGCGCGTTCAAATCATCAAAAGAGGAAGTGCATATATCCAGAACAAGGATGGGCCTTTCAGGATGTTGACGAGGCAAGATCTAAAAGCTAAAGGTGAGGTTCGCCAGCTATCCGAAGAGTGGTTTTATATGGTGATGCCAAATGGTGAGAAGGTGTTGCGAACATGGATAGTTTATTTTCCCGTCAGTGAAAAATTATATTGTTTTTGCTGCCGACTTTTTGCCGTTAATGCTACAGACACAACATCCAAATTTGTGACTGGATTTTAGACATGGTGGAAAATGAGCCCGAAAGTGTCTAATCATAAGACATCCGATGCTCACTTGCATTGCTTTGAAAAATGGAAAACCTTGGAGGTGAGACTTAGAATGCACAAAACAATTGATGCAGAAAATATTGCTTTGATAGACATAGAGAAGAAAAAGTGGAGAGACGTCTTGCATAGGCTGCTCGATATTACATTATTTCTCGCCAAGCAAAATCTGGCTTTTCGGGGCCACAATGAAGAAGAATCTTCATTAAATAAAGGAAACTTTCTTGAAATGGTTGAGATGCTTTCTAAATATGACTCAGTGCTAAAAGAGCACCTATTAACATTAAAGCAAAATTCATTCATTCAATGATCCTCTGTAGTCCCTTAAGGGACCGTTGAGGCCGATGGTATTCTTCTATCTCTCCAAAATCCTTTTCTTTCTCTCGCCATCTTCATTGAGCCCAATGTTCCAACCCCCGTCCATTCCGTGATATCATCCATTCACTTCCTCACAGGTCTTCCAACTTTTTTCTTCCAGTCCCTCTTTCTCATCAGTACTTTTTTGATCAGTCTGTCGTCTGTCATTCTGCAGAATTGCCCAAAGATACCCAGCTTTCTTTCCTTGACCCTTCCATACACAGTTTTTTGTCTTCCAAGTTGTTTTCTTATGGCATCGTTTCTTATCTTTTGTCTCCAACTGATTCCCAGCAACTTTCTATAACAATGCAGAATGCTTCGTTTGTCTTTGTCTCTTTTCTTCAACGTCCAAGCCTCACATGCATACATCAATGTAGAAAACACACACGCTTCTATGATCTTTAACTTTGTTTTTGTAGATACATTACCGTTTTTCAATATTACTTTCAAAGATGCAAACATTCCTCTCGCGATTGCTATTCTTCTATCAATTTCTTTCGAACAATTATTGTCATCAGTTATGAGGCTACTCAGATATAGCACTCATAAAACTAAAGCATCTGCATCTTATCTTGCATCAAATACTCAGAATGAGTTTATTCATGTCCTAGCAAATCATGTGAAGGATAAGCTTATCATGGATATAAAATCTGCCCGGTGTTTTGGTATCATGTTTGATATCACACACTGACCAGAAAAGTTGAAGTAAGAGAAGTGTTTCTGGGATTTTTTCCTTTAAAAGGGAAAAAAGCTGCTGATCTCAGTTCTGATATTCTCGAAAATTTGGAAAGTGATGGACTCGACTTTATGATGTGCCGCGCTCAAGGTTACGAAAATGCTGCGACTATGGCTGGAATCCATGGGGGTGTACAAGCCATTTTGAAAAGAAAGAACTGGAAAGCTATTTTTAATGGTTGTGTGGACCATTCTCTTAACTTGTGTGGCCAACACTCTTTTGCTGAAAATGCTTCGTGCGAGACTTTTTTTGGAACTCTTGAGACAATGTTTTCATTCTTTGCTGCTTCCACTCACCGATGAGATGTTTTAATGAACCACACTGGAGTTTCATTAAAAAGATTATCAACAACACGCTGGAGTTCTCATCACGCAGCAGTAAAGGCGGTGAAAGAAAAATTCGATGAATGTGTGGCGGCAATAGAAGGTTTATGTGATCCAGGGGAAAATCTAGACACAAGAGGTTCAGCCCGAGGTCTTTTACCTGCTATCTGCAATTTCACTTTTCTGTGCTACCTCTTCTTTTGGTGTGATGCACGCGAAGAAGTAAATCTAACACAGCTGTATCTTCAGACTAAGGGCTTAAGTCTTGACAAGGTGGTGACAAAGCTAAAGACACTAAGACTATTTATGTATGAGAAGCGCAATCATCTTGTGGAGCAGGCAGTTGAACAGGCACTTATAAAATCAGACCAATATGGAATTTCAGTAGAGAGCAGACCCAGGTTCAAGAGAAGGATGGCAGGCGAGCGCGAGAGAGATGCTGGACTTACTCTGCAGGAAGAAAACACGAGAGCGATGTATGAGTGTATTGATCGTTTCCATTCTGAACTTCAGATCATATCAAGAGCCATCAAGGAAGTAGCAGCCATGTTTGAGGTTGTTCAAGCCAAGAGTTTGATATCTGCTACTGAAGAAGAGTTATTGATAAACATTCCAAAATTGACCACATTCTATGATGAGTTATCAGAGATAGAGCTTTTATTAGAAATACCAAGACTGAGAAGACATCTGAAGGCAGCAGAGATTGATCTTGAAGAAGCCAAAGACTGGTCAGTACTTGACATTTTGAAATTCATAGTTGAATGAGACTTCCTAAAATCTCTCCCATATCTCTCAGTGAGCCTACAATTATTTCTTACAATCTGTGTGTCTGTGGCTTCATGTGAGAGGAGTTTTTCAAAGCTAAAGATTATAAAGAACTATTTGCGATCTACTATGGGACAGTCTAGGCTTTCTGATCTTGCAATATTATCAATTGAAAGAGATTTGGCAAAAAAAGTTGATTTTGATGAAGTAATTAACAAGTTTGCATCTCTAAAGGCGAGGAAAGGGAAGTTCTGATTTAATTGAGATTTAATGTGACATAAAATTTAATGTAAAAATAACAATTAAAAAAGTTTTATTTCTTAAAATCTTTGATAGATCACAATTTTTTTTAAAGAATAAAAAATCGACCTTGAACTATTTTTTCTTCTATTTTCGTTGTAAATTTATTTATAAATTTTGCTAAGAATGCTGTATGTCTATGGGGTGTCATGAGAGGGGTGACACCATGAGTTACCGCACCGGGTGACACCAACCCTAGTGACGCCACTGCACCACAGTAGCGGATACAGATTTAATAGTAGAAGGCACATCCACTACTGTTACCTCTGGTAGATTTACGACTACAATTACAAAACGTCGTTTTGTTCCAACTTGGACCAATAACTTTCCCTGGATTCTGTATGATTCAAAAAAAGATATTGTTCTTTGTTCCACGTGTCGAGAAATATTTTTCACAATGGGTCTGCCGTTTTCTTCTAAAAAAGAAACCGCTTTCATTGAAACGGGTTTTAATAATTGGAAGAAGGGGTTGGAAAAATTTAAATTGCACGAAAGATCACAATGCCGCAAAGAAGCCGTATTTAAATCTCATACCATGAAGTTATCAGTTAACGTTGTTGCACAGGTGATTATATAGTTTAATTTGTATTTGACATGACAGGTTATTCTAAAATGTAAACACTTTTTATTACAATTACAGATTTCTGAGCAGAAAAAAAAGAGTTATTGAATAATCGAAAGTGCCTGAAAAAGATTTTTTCTTCTCTGTTGTTCTTAGCGTCACAAGGTCTTGCAATACGTGGTCACGATGATGTCTCAAGTAATTTTTGTAAATTTACTTAAGTTAAGAGGTGAAGATTCTGAGGAACTGCAATTGTGGCTAAAATCTGAATCATATATGTAAATGTAACCACATTTATGTATTTATTTCATATCTATGATATTCAATATCTTTGATATATGTTTGATCTTTGTTTGGGTTTCGATAAATGTGTTTCGATAAATGTGCTGCGATAAATGTGCTGCACCACGTGATTGACATATTTTATAATTTATTTGATTTATGAGTTTCGTATGAATAAGCCTGTAATTGATTACTGTTTTACAGGTATGTTTTCTTTAATTTATATCTCTGTATTATTTTATATTATTTGATTATATGACATTTAATTTGTTTGAATAAACTGTTTTACAGATTAATAAATCAGGTTTATTTAGAAACAATCTTACAAATCAATTACAAGTTATATTCCAAAAAAAAAAAAAAAAAAAAAGAGAAAGAAAGAAAGAAAGAGAAGATGTCTTCAGATAAGTTATTTTTTTATATTATAAAAAGAAACGATAATTTCGAATTGACGGCTTTGTCAGAAAATAAATTAGCGTGGTATAATCTGCCCGATGATTATAAAGATTTGGCTGAACATAAAGTTTTATGCTCAAAGCGAGTGATAAAAAATACAATTATGACAATAAAACG